CGGTGGTGTCGTCCAATATTGTAGTATCATCACTGTCAAAGTTTCGTACAATTTCATAGTATCGCCAGAATTGTGGTATCGTACGGTATTGTAGTATCGCCAGTATCGTGTTTCGTACTATATCGCAGTAATTGTCAGTATCGTTCATCGATTCTCATCGTATTGTCCAACAAGAGACAGCAACGCAGACAAATCTATTTTTATGGCTCTGGTTCTTGCAAAGGACTGGAAAATAAGTAGCTCCACTGGCAAAACAACGGTGGTAGTACATCATGTAACACTTTTCAAAGGCGCTACTTAAACTACGCCTTAGTAAAAGCACCAAAATCAGTGTTCCGTAATTTATCATGACACGAAAGAATGTAAGTTAGGCAATGAAACAAAACACGTGTTAAATTTAAATTTGAAGTTATGGATTTTGAAATATGTTCAATACTAATCGTACATACTGTGGAAAAAAAATGGACAGGTCGAATAACTAACTTATTTCCAAAGGACCACAGACTACACTAAAAGATACAAGTTATAACTTTAACTCATAAAGTTACGCAAGAGGCTGTTAAGTAAGAAGTTACGGATTTCCAACTAAAATTGACAAAAATAGCACCTATTGAGACCAGTAGCGCCTGTGAAAAAGTACATTTCACGCCTCCAAAATGGAATTAGATAGCATCTTCGTTTTTCAATTAGTGTAACATTAGGAAACGGTGTAATTTTTACACTCATTTCTTTAAACATTTGTAAATTGTGTATGTCTCATTTCTCTACACAAAAAGTTTGTAGTTCATAACTCAGTCTGACTCATGACGCAGGCTGTGCTTTGCAGAGAGTTTGCCCTCCATATGTATTGCCATTTGTAGCGGAAAGTCCTTTCTTACCTCGCCATCGCGAGAGCCCGCATTCGGCTGTCAGAGTTTTGAAGATGAGATTGTCATGGCTAACTCATGTGGTCGCACAGTACTCCACCGCATCGGGGTTGAGCTCGAAAAAATCAGTGAAAAATGCCAATTTGCTTTGGCTATGCCAGAAAGGCTTGGACGAGCGACCGCTGCTGAAAACGGCTTGTCCTGCGGGAGGCTGCTATACACTGATAAACTAAGTGTGCAACTGCTTAACACTTGTAAGTGTGTAACTGCAAGTAAAATACTTGCAAGTTTGCAACTCTGTAGTTGTACACTTGCAAGTGTTCAACTCGGTAGGTGTGCACTTTCTACACAGTGAGCGTTCTATCTAAGAAAGTACTCAAAATTTCTGACCTATGGAAGACTAAGTTGCTTAAGGCAACCCGCGGGACAAGCCATCGTCTTCTTTTAAACCCGAAAAAACTTCTAATTTGAAAGTTATTTTGAAGTGTTTTCTTACAGCTTTACATGGAGGCAAGCCTGTACAGTGACAAAAAGTTTGCTGTGTTAGATGTGGTCTTATCTTCGTAATTCAAGTGCTTCGCCTAATAGCAACCATAGCATTAGAATCGCAAACCAGAGGTAATCGAAAAAAGAAAACACGTAAAAGTATCGCAAAAATATTTTTGATGAGCCACTGCCCCTGTGCGGAGTACTGTGACACCACCTGGGAGACTTTTCGGCCTGCTTCCAAAGAGACCGACAGCCGAATCTGAGCTCTGACCGCGATGAGTTGAGGAAGTCAACTTCCTTGCGTTACTGGCGAAGACTGCAACGAGGAACTGCCCTGATGGCGGCTCTGCATGACCAACCCAGCACAATTGCTTATTCACCGCTCCACCCACCCTCGCGGACACACGCGCCAAGCACGCGCACCATTAAGAATTGATATGGGCGTGTCTCCCCTCGGCTGCAGGGGAAGTTTAATGAAAGTGCGTATTGCATACAACGTGAAACTTGTGTAGGAAGGCTTAGTCAGTACAAATGTGGCAAATCGAAGACTTGATAATATAATCGTTCCCCACACTCCATGGATGATAAGCCTTTGTCGTGTCGATACCTTCTATCGAAAGCCGCGGAGAATCGCATGCCTGATTTGGATAACTCGCTCAATTTTAAAACCGAGGAAAATTTCGCACTAGAACAACTGTAACGCATCTAAACGTTTCAACACCTTGTCTACTCAGAGGGGGCCATAAGGCGCAGGGTTGAGAGACAGTAGGCAATCCCACCAGCACGGCTGCATGCGCTTCAGTTTAACTACGGACCTTAAAGAAAGGAAAGCTTTCCGGAGTGTGTGAGCCACGTTGTGCATAAAAATCGAGCAAAGAAAAGAACTGACATTTTTATCTTCATTTAACAAGTGCATCTTGAGTACATTGATAAACCAACTGTGCATCTGCTTAACTCGTGTAAGTGTGCAAGTACAAGTTGAGTACTTGCAAGTGTTCTACTGCGTAGTAGCACTTTTTGTAAGTGTTCATCTATTCTTTTTAACAGTTTCCAGGGAATAGCGTCCAATCTGAGTAAATGTTGAACACACTCACAAGTGGACAGCTCCCGAGTTGAATACTTGAAAGGGCACAATTGGTTTACAGGTGTAAAATAACGGGCTCTTTAACTGTTACTTTAAGTTCACTGAGGAAACTTTTTACTTTGGGCACTAATTGTTGCCTATCAACTTTACTATAGCTCAACAGTATTGTTCCAATATTGAGTTCGTGTGCTGTGTAGATAATTTTGGGAGGCTGGGTTGCTGTGTTCAGCTCCCAGCGCTAGACATATAGAGCAACCAAAAAAACTTCGCTGCTGACACTAAATCGACGCGTCCTAGCAACTTTATCCTATCTACAGGGAGTCGTTTTCAAAATGTCCTATCTACAAAGGGTCGTTTTCACAATGTCCTAGCTGCTATGGTTTATTAAACAGCTAGAACATTGTGAAAGCGACCCTTTGTAGATAGGATATTTTGAAAACGACGCTCCGTAGATAGAATATTGTTGTTAGGACGCGTCGAAATGTATAGGGTTGAGACAGAAAAGAATTGTCAGTACGGATGGGGGTGGAGATTCAGATGACTGAACGCGTATTAACTCTACAACTTATTGTGTATAGGGGGAAGAGCTCGCACACAACCTCTCCGAAGCATAATTTCCTAACTTCTTTTTGACTAACACCCAGGACGTTTCAGTACATTTTATTCAAAGAAATTACTTTCAGAAAGTTATGATCAGCATTCAGATTTTACTGGCACTAGTCTGAGGGGCTCAGCATAGTATTATTCACATAATGATAACGGCTCATTTGGGTAGCTCATCGCAGATTGTACCAAGCTACATCATCCTGATACTATACAAAGCACGGTAAAAACGACGTCGCATTTTGTGAGGAAATAGGGAAAACTATGAGGGACTCCCATACATGAGGAAAATTCCCCCGATCTCACCTCAGATTTTGAGGAACCTTCTAAACAAATGGGGAAGATTCGAGGTCGATTTCGAAATTTCGTCGATTTTGTGGACAAAATCGACTTATATCGAGTCGAATTTGGCTCGATCGATGAATAACGACATTTATCGATATTTCATTATTTCTCACTGGGAAGGGAGTTCGCCAAAGAGATGCGCGAACAGGTCAGTTCGAATCGTTCAAATTTGAAATAAGAACTCGAACAAATCGACACCTGAGAAGAACAACCGCTTACCTCCGCGGACTGGAAACAAACCCGCTTACCTCTGCAACCCTCAAACAAAACCGCTTACCTCTGGGACACGCAAACAAAGACGCTTAAATGACTTTTGTACACATTTTGAGATATGTGTATCATTCGAAAGAGAATTTTTCACTGATCATTTTGATACCCGTATCTCAATATGTGTAAAAAAGTCATTTAAGCGACTTTGTTTGCGTGTCCCAGAGGTGAGCGGTTTTGTTTTAGGGTTGCGGAGCTGGTTTGTTTCCAGTCCGCGGAGGTAAGCGGTTGTTCTTCTCAGGTGTCGAAATTTGGTCTAAAAAATTTCGAACGAACACAAACAACCATTTTTTATTCAAACGAAACGAACCGGACAATGTAATGTTCAAATTAGATCCGAACACGAACAATTACTGCAATTTGCATTTTGCTTCTTAGTCATAAAAGCTATCCAAGTCGGTTTACAATAGTTCCATTAACGTCTAAAATTGTAGTTAGTTATTAATCTGCCACCACTGCCACTGCCCCGTTAATTACACCCACATATAACGCGCCTTTCTGAAACATAATTCAATGTTGTTCGCCTACGAACTTCTGTTCAAGTAACATTTTTCGAGAACATTTTGAATCCGAACACCTTCTTCTTCTTGTTCGTGTTCGAGCGATCACGAAAAGCTCGATGTTTGTTCAAGTTCGCTCATCTCATAGTTCCCCATAGTTTCCCCCTTTCCCTTAAAAAAATGAGACGTCGTTTTTAAAAGGGAGGGGGGGGGGAGAAAGGTGGAACTTGATGCCTTGAAAGGGGTGTTAAATCTTAATGCCTTTGGAAAAGCACAAAAATGTAAAAAGGCATAAAATGTAACATTTACTGGCTTGTTTAATCGGTGCTAATATGTATTGCCTTTTGACAAAGCATTAACAGCCGTTCCGCCTAACTTCTTATTTTTCAAGAGTATATGTCCTGATCACAGCGGCCATCTTCTCTGTCACCAGGCACGTGTTTTCAACTCTGACCTAAGTTTTGTGTTGCCATTAATAAATAAATCGGCAGTCGAGGCCTTGCGATCTTTTCCCTAAAAACCAACTTTTTCTTGTGGCATCCTGAAACATTTGCGGTGAACGCCGAGCACGCAAGTCCCAATCATAACTGATGCATCACAACACATGGCGATGTGTTGGCTACGAGAACATCTGCGTTCAGTCATATTCTACCACAGCCGTGGTGTGTGATCGGTCAAGAGAAGTAAGATTTTTTTCGTGTGCTGGCGTTACTGGTAGAGCAGACTTACACGGCGATGCAGGCACCAAAAGTCGAATGGAAAGTAAGACAGTGAGATGAGGCGAACGGAACATGAGGTATTGTGCATAAAACGAGGTTCCTATTTTACCCTTTTCTATAAATAATTGTGATGATGCGGTCTGTCTTCACAGAGGGGCGGACCCCTGACCCGTAACTTGCAGTGGTGGTTGCACCACGTCACGCACGAAGGTAATCACGACAACGTCCTGCGATGGTTGCTTTTCAAACTGCGGGGCAGCAAGGTGAGTGGGCGAGACATGAGGCATAAGGAAAAACATTCCTTGCATCCTGAATCCTTCTTCTATGCGCTTCAATGCCCGTACTAATGAAAATTATAGGGTGAGACATTGGTGGCACAAATAAAGCGCATCAACGCACTTAATAAGTGCATTTAGTACGCATTATGTGCATTCAGTGCGTCATCTATCTATACGAAATCTTTTGAGACATTTAATGCAGCTTAGCAAATCGTAGGCAACGAAAATGTGCCGACCTTAATGTGTTCATCGCATTAAAGCGTTACGATTTGGTGGTTCGGGCTATAGTTAATGAGAGTGGTAATTACAGAATTATGAACCACACTTTTTTAACCGCTGAAATTTTGAGTTTTTAAAAATAAAATTCAGTATCCCTTCTCCTCTCTGCGTTGGCAATTACACTTACGCCTATCATTCTCATTTACATTACTGCATGTATTGCGCCTTTCAGTTCACTAGCGCTACTCACTAGGAAGAACACCATCGTCAAAAACTCGTCAATGAACCTCATTGGACGTCAAAATTAGCTCAATCTAGCTACCTAGCCGCAGTAAATCTTGACGATCAGCGTCAAAAAGGAAGTCATTGTAACATCATTTTGACAACCGTGTTCTACCTGGTTTGGGAACTGTCCATGATTCCTCAGGTTACACTGTGCATCTCTTTCAGTTCTCGATGAGAGTCGCCATGATTGCTGTGACGGTAACGCTTGTGAACGCACTGACTGCTGAGAACCTGAACCGCGCTGACGTGTCAATACGTTACTTCGTTGGTGTCAACGCTTGCATCTGTCTTCAGCTGATGTTTATTAACAGAGAGGACCTGCTCCGTCGTTGGCTAGGGCTTGTCATTGTGCATGCGCACAGTGCAGAGACTGACCCCGCGACTGACGATGAGTTTATGGTGAGTTCTCGTTTTAAAGGTTTGTAAAGTGTGCAAAGTCTGCACACTTGCACGATAAACTAAGTGTGCATATGCCCAACATTTGTAAGTGTGGAACTCCTCGATTGTACCCTTCCTTATATAGGGCGCTCACTAGGAAGTGCGTAACCGTGGAGTTGCACATACTTGCAAGTGTACGTCTACCGAGTTGTCCTAATGAAAACGTTTTCGAACACGCTTCGTGACATTAAGTTTCAGTTCGACTCCAGTGTCTCCTGTGTCAAAGTTTGTACATTTGGAAAACATACCAATTCGACGGGTCCTATTAACGTCGTCCGATCCCCCAGTGACGCTCGAACGTTGTCCGATCTCCTTTGGACGCTTGCTCTGCAGCGCTGCCTTCTTTTAATTACGAGTGCGGTAATATGAGCAGTAGAGAAAAAGTAACCATTGATATGTGTTCCTTGATCTTTTAGGAATACCTGGCAATTTTTACTTTTTCTCTACTGCCGATATTATCCTACTCGCAAATAAAAGAAGGCAGCGCTGCAGAGCGAGCGGCAAACACCGCCAGAAATGGAGCGACACCGGAATTTTAGGCGATATCACATAGATATCGTTTTGATATCGCATGTCGTTTTTGTGCCCACTTTCGTGTCGCTAGCGACACCATTTCATGGTCACCCGTGAAAACCACGATGTGTACGTCCGAACATACGCGGTACATCCTGGTCCACATACCATCCGTGTGCAATTCGTGTGGTGAATCTATTCGGCCACGTGTTTCGGGAACGTGTACAGGTAGCTGTAACTAGAGGCGTATACGGGGTGGGTTTTCACGGGTACCGTCGTAGTTTTAGATGTTCACACACAAATACAATAATTAGAATTTCGAATGTACATTTTTCTGGCTTGTATAATGCAAACAGGCTCTTCTGGCTCGGCGAGCTCGGAAAGGTCGATTTATGCGCTGGTTCTTCGTCGTGCATGCCACAGCCACAGAGGTCACATTTGTCTACACGTTGAGCATCTGGGCACCGACTTGGCTGCAGCAGGGGATTGGGAACAAAGAGATATGGAAAGAGTGGATGCGATGGACTGTGCTAACCCTGCAGGTATTGATAACAAATCTTTTTTTGTGTTTTGAGCAGAATTCTCTTTAAAATAAGTTTTATTACACCAAAGATGAATGATCTACTTTTTTAACAGGCCTATGGGCTCCTGGCTGGACTTGCCTCCGTCTACACGTTTCTTCCACTTGTGCTCCAGATCACCATGGCATCTGCTGATCTCATGTACATTCTCGGAAAAAAACTAGAGGTACGTGAAAGGCCACACAGGCATAAACTACTGCAATAAAAAGCTACAATGGGTGCCTGTATATAACGCTATTTAGAGTTTACTTTGACCCTTTGACCATCCGTGGTCATTTCTGCATGCCCATACACTTTAAAGCATTGCTCAGGATGATACCCGAAAAGAATTGACAGGTATGCCGTTGTAGCCGGACAATAGCCGCCACTGAGAGTGCGCTGATTTCTGCATGCCTTCTGTCCGATGAATGCGTTTCCGACGTCATCGCCCCCGTGATTTTCGCTAGCCTGCTCATGCCTCTAATAAGCCTCGTCCAGGTATGTCAATCACTGTGACCTTTGGTTACGCGAAAATTTATCGTAAAGCAATGTTTCGTAAATACGAAAAGGCATGCTTTGCTGCCTACATTAAAGGGCGTTTTGTAGTCTCTTGGTAGTAATATGCTGTTATAAGAAACTGTTTTCTAACGCGTTGGGGTTTTATACTCAACAGAGGGGCTGAGTGTAACATCACGCACCACCACCACAGGGAATTGAAAATAGAACCAATATTTTTAAAAATATTTTCGTCGAAACACTTGGCATACTTCTGTACTTACTCCCTCCAAAACAAATGTTACATTCGAATTCTTAGTAGTGCACAGAAAAACAATTGATTAATGACATTATAATGTCATACACAAAACAATGTGCCTTTCAGCATCTCCTTGAAGAAGCTGTCTCTTTTGGTGCACTAAAATTAACTTATTTTTTAGGGTGAAATAACGGCTGAATTTTGCATGAGTCCGTTCTTCACTTCCGGAACAGGAGGCTATCTCTTTAAGATCGGTCGAATGAACGAACGAACGATCGAACGACGGGACAAGTGTAAATGAGCTTATTAACGCTTTCAAATTTACTGCAATCTATGAAATGACATATTTTAAAAAAGGGAAAATTATAGGGATTGAATAGCTCCCCCTAATATTGGCACTAAATGAGTGGGGAACACAGTCTCCGAATTCACGCGTCTGAACACTGAGAGTATGTCTCTGCACACAAGTGTCAGTATTTGTAGTGGAAAGCAATTCCGTCACTTCCTCCATCTTCAAAATGTCATTTAACATAATTTGCAGCGAATGTAAAAGCTTTTGTAAGTTTATTCGCCCGCCCCCCGCCGTTCGATCGTCTGTTCGTTCGTTCGTTCGACCGCTCTTAAAGAGATAGCCTCCAGTACAGAAACACTACAGAAACATAGATGACAACGGGGTATTGTAGGCACATATGATACTTCAGGGACATTTTTCAGGAACATGTCTATTTCGGATTGGTATAAAGTTGACAGTTAGTCGCGGTTGGTAGTTAGTAAAATCACGTCAAAGCCCACGTCCGGCTTCCGCAGAAGTTCTCTACGAAGTGCTGCTCTGTCTGCAGGCTCTGAGCGGCGTCGTGGACAGCTTGGATGCGCTGGGCACAGCCCCACTGTTCATCACCATCACCGTGCCCCTGTACCTGGCGGGTGACATGCTGGCCTCGGCGCGGCAGGGCATCGCGGATAGCGCAGCGCGCGGCCCCTGGCTGGAGGAGGAGCCCTGGCAGCGCCGCATGCGCGCTGCAGTCATGCTTGGAGCCTCCGGAGAGGGCGCTCTGCCGAGGTGACTGAAGGCAAAACCGTTTCCCAGCTACGAGTTTTAACAGGCTATTTTGACGTTTGACGTTCGTTGATTGTTTTACAACTACCGTACGTACGGTCGTGCACTTTTACGTATGGCATGGCACTGAACGTGTTAAGAGCATTTCTACGCGCATTCGCGTCGACATGGGACATGGATTTAATGTGTTAACTAGGAAAACAAAGGTGTGATCTAATGGCTATTTAGAGGCAGTAGCGCCTAAACAATCGCGCTACTGGCCCCCAAAGGTGCTATTTTCAGCAATGTTGGTGCCTTAGCAGAGGCATTAGTGCAATAGCACATTTAAAATGTGTTTTGTATCACCTTTGATTTTGTAGTGGTGACGCCTTGGGAGTACAATAATTCTTATAGCTAATGGGTACCATCTGTATTACTTTCAGATGTCAAGGCTTGGGTAAACTTAACCGAAGAGGACTCCTCCACGTCCTTCAATCATGGTTTAGCTTTCTTCAAGCTATGCTAAATCTTCGAAAAGGAGTTAAAGTTACAGCGAGTAGAAATAATTCATAACGTGAGTCGAGCGTTGCAATTACAGTGTTAATTGATCGCTCCAAAATTGTACGAAATTGCAATATTAGTCTGCTTTGTTCTCTTCCTCTAACTCCTTTTGCAGGTAAATCGAGTCAGCAGGAGGCTCTGCCAATCCTTAAAGCAATTGGCGGATTAAGGTTGCCTAGATACAGGGGATTTGTGGCGGAAATTGCCTACCTTTCAGGCGGCTCTCTAGAGACGATAAGGGGGGAAGGGGGCGGGGGCGATGGCCTGCATTGAAGCGTAAATGCGCGTAATGAGCTTAAAACTTTACTCGTGCAATGGAGCACTGTTGAAAACGTCCATGGTTTCTCGAAGACGTACTCGTCAATTAAATTGCCAAACGTCCTTTGGGATTTCACAACGGCCTCCGTAGTAGTGCTTTATGAAAACTCCGAAAATGATCCGCCACAATCCAACTCGTTGTAACACTTGTCCGCGCCGACTCGCGAAAACTACTAGCAAAAATTGCACCCAACACGTGCTAAGCGGTAGTATACCTATTTCAGGGTAGGTGCTTCAAAACAAACAAACATTTCGGAATTTTCAAAGGTGTTTGTAAGGGTGGAGTAATAATAAAAACGGTACCATATGCCATATTTCGAAGTTTTTTAAAATTTATTTTAGATGTTTGCGTTTCACATTCAAAATAACATCTACTAACTGGTTTGCTAGAAGAAATAAAAAAAGTTACAGTATTCAAAAGGGGAGAGCTCACAATTTTAAAGAGTGGGGGTGTTGCAAGATTTTCAATAATTTTGAATGACCATCCTTCAATACTTTGTGCATCATCAAAGTATCATACTTTGCAAAAGAAGGGTGCCTTTGAAGGAAACTGAAAAAACCCATAAATAACTACTTCAGTATCCAACAACACAAACTAACGGTGTTGTTTTCTACACCGTGAATAATGTCAGAAGGAAAGCCGATACAATGATCAATAATCACACACAGGGGCGTAGCAAGGGCCGGCCGACAGAGGTTGAAGCAGAGAGCAATTGCCTACATACAGGGGATATGTAGCTCAAATTGCTTATTTAAGTGTCTGTTTAGGGCCGACAGGGGAAGTCCCCCCCCCCTCCTCCCCTCTCTAAATACGCCCTGATCACAAAGCATTTAAAGACCACTCTGAAAACACCAGCAATTCCAGAAAGGGGTGCCCGTCAGTGACGATATTTGTGAGCGACGGAGGGGTGCTACATACTATAGCAAAACGCCCCTAAAAGCGTCTTGCAAAAAAACTCACAAATGCCGTCGCTGACGGACATTTTTCACCATTCTTTTTGGAATAGGAAGGACGCAGCGCCCTCAAAGAGTCGTTACACTGATAAACTAAGTGTTCAACAGCTCAACACTTCAAAGTGTGCAACTGCAAGTTAATTACTTGCAAGTGTGCTACTGCAAGTTTAATGCTTGCAAGTGTGCAACTCGGTAGGTGTGCACTTGCAAATGTGCAACTCCTCGGTTGAGCACTTCCTACACAGTACGCGTCCAATGTAAGGAAGTGTTCAACTGAGGAGTTGCACACTTGCAAGTGCACACTTACCCAGTTTAACACTTGCAAGTGTACGACTACGGAGTTGCACACTTGCAAGTATTCACCTTGCAGTTGCACACTTTCAAGTGTTGAGCAGTTGAACACTTAGTTTATCGGTGTAATAGTTGCAACATCTTTGAAAGGGGCACGATCAAATATCGTTCCAGTAAAGGCACGCAAGTACTGTACAGGTGCGATGATAACGCCCCTTTGAGCTCACTTAAAATGTCTCTCTTAAGGCACTAAAAATTAGCACCGTAAAGAAGGCACTACGTCCTATCTTTGTTTTTTCAGTGTACTTGGAATGTGCATCGCTTTACAAGGCATCTTCAAAATGCTTCAAGACAAGTAGTCACTTTTCTTTGTAACAATAGTCAAATACACTAGATATCAAGCGAACAACGAAAAATTAACAGGCACAGTTGCTTCGGCAAGCAAGAACAAAGCTAACAAGAACAAAGTAATCAGTTCAAATCTTAAAAGTCAAATATCACACTAAATTTCTTACAGTCAAAAGAAAATGGAAACAGAATGAAGTCTGAAGTTCTATCGATTGTGCTTAGAAAGTTGGGGTACAATAATAATTCAAGAAATTTAAATCCAGATTATACACATGGGTGGGCTAGATTATGTACTCAAATTTAGCAGAGAAACGTATAACTTATCATTAGAGCAATTTAAAAAAATGCGGGAGCATACACAACAGAATTAAAGTTTGTATGAATGGAAAGGAAAAAAAGAACAGCTTAAATTCAGTCCTCACACACGAGGGGAACACATGGCACTGTTGACTAGTTGAAAGCCATTTCAAGATTTAACATTCTGCTAATGAGTAAAGTAGATAATAAACAAGTATATACATACAATAATTTATTAATACTTAGTGAACTTAAAACAATAAATAAAATGTTTCACTACTAAATATCATAGAATTCTATACAAACTTAAACTCTTATATAACCAAGCAAATAAATATAAGCAATTAAATTTAAATTGGGTAAATTGATCACTATAGTAATGGCTTTAGACTGGAGTTCACATTTATGAAACATACATTTTTAAAAATCATACCTTTTTTACTAATTGGAAATACAAACGTGGACCTTACTATATTTTAAAGAGGTGCAAATGATTCCAATGATCATGGAACGGCATGAAAATTTAACACTTTAATGGCAAAAATATGCCCTAAACTTTCAGTGCCTATTTGCTTCCATTTTGTCTCAAGTAAGGTTACTAACCCATAAAAGGCATTAAGTCGCCAAACAAACTTCTCCGCTATATATTTTAGGGGTGAACAGAAGGTGGAAGAGTCGTGAGCGTTGCATTTATTTGGATAGAGAGAGTCAAAGGGCGATGTATTCTAGTTTCAAAGTCCCACAAAACCAAACCAAAAAGATCCGTTCCATACACTGGCATCCGAAATAGAAAGCACTTGCAAGCGTGCAACAGTTGAACACTTGAGATGTCAGTGAGCACTGAATCCCTTTTTATTTCAAATCTTAGTGCGCAATTTCATGTTCCATACATTATGGCTGTAAGGCTATTTACACTATTTTAACGCATCTTTATACATAATGTATAAAACTTTCTGGCATTTTATTACATATTTTTCATGTCCTGGCTTCAGTGTTCTGTTTTCAATCATAAGAATCAGAGGCAATACACAGATATATGACCATGACATCTGAGATAATTTTTTTACCCTCATTGAAGAAAAGATTTTGGAATCAAAGATAACATGATCCATACTTGCATTGAAAATTAGCTATGAAAACTTTCTTTCGTTGCTCAACGGGATACCGAAAAACATAGCTTTCTTTCAATATCGTTTGGTAATCAATTGTAGGAAACATGTCTAGGCAAAATAGAAAACTAGGAAGGAAATAGGTATGAGACCATAATAATTCATTAAGAGGATCGAGTTGTAACACAATGCAAAATTCATTTGCTAGTATTTAAGAGAATGCCAATTCCCGGACGTCATCTTGCATGTATTTTTGCCAGGCTAATTTTGATACAACGGCCGGTGCACATCGCACAAAACTGTACCATGATTGCTGCATAATGCAACCCACGAAATCCTTGAATTTAAATTGACTCAAATGGCCACACTTGTAACACTTCTTGAAAAAAAAAATTCAATCGATAATTTAATAATAATTATTACGACTGAATTATTGATACAAAAAATAAATCAATCATGTTCTTTGTTCACAATACATCCAAGTGATTGTAACTTTTGAAGAGGCAAATATTTTGCTTTGATCCATATCGTTATCAGAGTTTTAATTCTAGCAGTCACTCAATTTCCACACTCATCCTCTACTCAAAGAAAAAACCCAAACGAGAATGCAACACACTTACATTTCTACAAAGAAATAAGATAAGATCTTTTAACTCAATGTAAGTAAAAGCATACTATATAATTTTTTCCTTAATAAATACAGAATATACACAGGTCTGCCTTTCACTCAAGCACATTCAACTACCCAAGGCCATATAAGGATGTAGGTCACTGGCTCTTCCATATTTTAAGTAGGACATAAAACTGTAAAAACAAAACAGAAGAGTATGAGTTAAAAATATATAATGATATATAACTGCAGAAAAAGAGTTACAATGTAGTTTGTGTCCACTACAAGTTGTCAGGGTACTCTACTTTATCGTGTTTAAGCTTAAAGGCCTTTTTTCGTTTGCTGAATTTTTGCTCTCTTTAAAGGACAGAGACTTGCCAAATGACATCAAGCTAACATTAGCCAAATGTCATCGTCTTGACTTTCCAAAACGATGTCACTCACATTGATATCAGTTAGGGTAGCAATGGTTACATGGCAAGATGACCAAATTTTGACTTTAAGGTCAACTTAATGCCGATCCCTCTCGTGCAAATTTTCTGGCGTCTCACTATCCATGACGGCCGGGGACACCAACTAGGTCATCGTCATCCGGAATAAAAAACACTCAAGATTGTTAAAGTAGTTAGAACGGTTTAGTCGTCAGTACACGTCGTACGCGCCATTATTCGTCATTTCCCTATTAGTAGCAATAAGTACGCAATTGACATTCGTACAGGCCTAGGGGTACAAAGTACGCCGAAAATTACCCCTTCGTTTTCATCTTTTACACTTTCCATTAAACACCTTAAATAGGTTGGCGTCTTTTGAGGCCAAAGTATTGGCGTCATACAACGCCAAATTTTGGCGTCCTATGACGCAAAATCCCAAAAGACGCCAAATTTGGGCGTCATATGACGCCAAATTTAGGCGTTCTTTTACTGGGCGCCAGGAATTGGCGTCATAAGACACCAACCAACTTACAGTGAATCAATAGTGCTAATTTGTGATGTGACACCCAATGCAAGGAGGTGAAAAGTTATATTGTTTATGTCAGAGGAGATGAGCTACCAAACCACGACCTGTTACCCAGAATAACTTACCCTTGAGAATGTAATCAGTGAGCAATGCGGGAACAGTGGGGCTATCTTCATTTATTGCTTTCAGTACTGTAACAAAAAATATCATTAACAACCACCTTCTTTCAAGTAATTACAAAAACGAGCGTTAACATTAGTTACTTACTTTTAATTAGAAATTGAAGTGCCTGGCCTGTTGGAGGACCACCTCCCATGTGGTAAGGAATCACAGTTGTCAGGTACTGTAAAACAAAAATAAATGGTGCTCAGTAAAGAGAGATGCAAAATTTGTAATGCTACGGTAACCAAGACTGGCATTTCACCAAAAGTCACATATTACATGTATAGAGAGTAAGTTTAGCGGGGTTAAGCCTATTTGAATTAAGTAAAATTCGAATTGTACCTTTGATTCTGCTGAACTGGGAGAGCGCCCAACTCCACTGTTTCGGCTGTTGCGCTTCTTGTCGACATGGTGTTGTCTTCGCCTATTTTGCACAGCTAAGAGCAATGATATAAATGAATTTTTGAGTTCTTTCTCTTCTTCCAGCTCATCTCGTAAAGCGAGCTCAGATATAAGGGTTTCCGAAAATTCTCGAATAAGAACTTCTAGCTCCAGGTACAACTCATTCAATTGAGACACACTTAATGTTTTCAGCTCTGAAACACATAACATCAACGTTAAAATTGACACTTTCCGATAAAACTACGTTCATGCGTGCCAAAGGGTCCTCGTTTTTTATTGTACTGTACCGCAGGCATGCATGAAAGCCGGTTGCCTACTTGGGCGGCGCCATCAAGGCGCCATGGTTAGCAACGGCAGAAAAGGGGGGTGTTTTTTGTTTTTTTTTTTTTAATTTTGCTTTTTCCAAAAGGCAGTAGGCCAGAACAATTGCGATGGTAGGAAACACCGCCAACACGCCTGCGCGCGGTACAGTGTACCATACAAAAATGGAGCTTGTGACACCCAGTATGCCATAGGTTGAGTAACAGTACTTACTTTCTTCATATAATGGAGAGTACAAAACTTCTTTTCCTTTCCGCTCTACAGCATCTAGAAGAGACTCCTCTGAACCAGGAGACAGTTCATGCGACGGCGTTTCCTGAGGAGCATTTACACAAAAAGACGTCTATTATTCTGACAATTAAAGTAAACCGCAGTTCCAATACTTTAAATTGGATGAAAATACATCGCAGAAAACATTGCGAGACATATGTACGCCAAACTCTCATGCATTGGAGGACAATGAGGTTCTACATACATATTTGCGTATGGCAGGGGTTGATGCTTTCACTAAAGAGTTATCAGATAAAAAGTCAAACCCCTTTCTGAATTGCACAACAGTACATATTTGTGACACATTTGGGCTCCTTTGAGTAGAGCGGGGCGCTAGAAAAGGATTTTTGAAATTGAGAACGCAATAGTGCGTTATAGTTGTCCAATCCGATGGTAACCCAAGTTTAAATTTTGAAATCGGTTAATATTTTACGATCCCATAGAGCATTCAAAGTTTAGCAAGGCGCTCTTCTGGCAAAAAGGATTAAAAAATAAAATTTCCCGATTTCGGCTTTCCAGCGAACATTTTTCAAAAACGAATTTCGGGAATGCAAACTATTAAAAAACGCGTCTGATGATGCGCCACACTTGAAATTTGAGGGAAGGTTCGGGTTGGTTTCATGCGCAAATTTAGCCATTTTTGGGTACACTCTAAATGTCAAGGGACAATTTTGTCCGTAGATTTGCAACGATTTCGTGCACATCCAGAAAGGATGCAATTTTGTTCCTAAAACTAGACAAATTGTGTGAAACTTCACACAAGTTGTCCAATTAAGGGAACAAAATTGCATCCTTTCTGGATGTGCACGAAATCGTTGCAAATCTGCGGACAAAATTGTCCCTTGACATTTAGAGTGTAAGTTTCGAGTTGAATTGGCACCCGAACGGCACAGAAAAATAATTTAGGTCCCTCAAACAAAAAATATTTCTTTTTAAATTCATCCTTATTTTTGACCTTGTTCTGAAGACTATAATTTGGGATGAGAAGCCGCAAAAACGTACATTTCTACGGAAGTTACATGTAGACCCGTTTAAAAGGATTTTTAATTACCTTTACCGGTAGCACACTGAAAAAACAAGTGTCACACATGTGAAACAAATTGATGCATTCTTTGCGAGAGGGCACATGTACGGTTTCGGAGAATATTTTCGTAAGGAGATCTCTTATTAGACTTTTGGTCAGACTATTTGGATTTCTGGTGCACCTATAAGTTGACTCTACTGTAATAAGAAATAAAACACAGTTCCTCGCAATCTTTAGGTTGCACGTTTTTATAAGACTTGCTTAAAGAAAATTTAATGAGGATTCGCAAGGTCCGAACGGAAGTTTAATAACTTAAGAGCTTACATATAGAGGCATCTTACAAAAACTTGAATGTGGCCACAAGATAATAATTGGTGGCACATGTGTGAAACTCATTTCTCAGTGTATGTATTTCCTTTGCACCCTTTCTATAAAGATGGCAGAACTGCAATCACGTGAAAGTTCCCCAGAGCTGAAATTTCCGTCTCGAGTTATTCTTCAGCTTCCACACGCACCTGCATCATGTCGTCGATTTCACGGATCACCTCGTCTGCAGTTTTGACTGGCTCCGCGTCACCATGGAGTCCGGACAAGATCAAGGAGTGCATATCCAGGTCGTTGGCGACAGCCTCGTCCTCAGAGCTCAGATCGGCCAAGTCGGCGTCTCCATCGGCGTCTTCTTGCCGGGAATCCTGCACACCCAGAAAAATGACACTGAAAATTCCACGATGCATTGTCTCGTTTTACAAAGAGAATGAAAACAGAGGCTCAGATATACGACGCAAACTTTGTCCGTAGCCTACGTAAGCATTTCTTTGTAATTCGAAACCACGAATTCATCGTAATCACGAAGGATTGCAACGATTGCAGTTAATTTTGTCGTTTTTCCGACCCTCTATGTAGATATATATACATCATACTATTGAAAAAAATATTTTGCTGCGCAGCAGATATTTATAATGTAAAAGGAGGATTAAAACGGACCCATTTCTTTTTTATTTTGACTATATCACCTTTATATACAGGGTGGGTGATCCACGCCGTGTTTTTTTTTCTGCTAATGGTGTACCGGATTCATGCATGCGGGAGGGCTTGCCTATCGTCGTTCGCCGTGGCGCCTTACGGCCCCGTGCGAGTATGCAACCCGTCCGCACGCATGGATCCGGTACAGTATAAGCAGAAAAAAACCACGGCGCGGATCACCCACCCTGTATGAGCAATAGCCACGACACTTTTGAAAAATCTGAAAGGATGCTTTCCCTATTTTTTGCAGATAGCGTCACGTGCACGAAAAAGAAACCCAATCTTCTCTTACGACTTTATAATTTTATTTTGTTTTGCAGTTTAAATGTGAAACTTATGCCATTTCTAATAAAGCAAAAGACAAGTGTCATTCTGAGATTTTAGTGACAGAACACTCCACACACGGTATAATCAAAGTCTGGTTTGTTTAGAGGAAAAGGAAAACTTTTGAAGAACTTCCACATTCGAGGAAAGCTAATAAGATCTCGCCTCAGATTTTGAGGAACTTCCTCACAGAATGAGGAAAATCCCACATTTATTGAAAAGACTTCCTCGAAATCTGACGAGTTTTCATCAAAAACCAAGGGAGTTTATCAAAGTCTGCACCAGTAAAAACTTTATATTTATTGCATTGGGGAAAGGTGGTGGTTGGTGGTAGTGAGGTGAAGGGGTTTGTCACTTACCTTGCACTCGTTAAGATTAAGGGCTGGCACATGCAGTTTGCGGGCGCATGATTTGGACCAGTCAATCGGTAGAATGTTCCCGAAGTTTCCAGTTATAGTCCACCACATTCTGCAAAGGAAACGAGAATGAGAAATTACTTCATTTGTTTTCTTCCGTCAGTTACATCGCCGCGTCTATGGAATTTAGTAAGAAGGCAGTAATACTCATTAGGGTCTGACTGGGTATTTGTAACACCGTGCGCCGGCATGCGTATCATGCCATGCATGGATTGCTTCAGGTTCACTATTTAGCTGAAAGTAGGTATTTGATCGAAAAACGGCTAAGTGTGAAATTTAAAAAAAATAAAGGAAAATTAGAACTTAAAATTATGGAATTACAAGGATTAAGTGTCGACAGAGAATTCATCAACGAGCAAGGAATAAGCAGCCGTACATTTACAAAATATTTTGTAAATTGTGAATTACAGGATATACTGCATATTTATGAGTTTTATCCTTATGCCGAATCCTACCTATATTTGACACTAATCTAGTAATTCAGCTGAAATAGTGAGCCTTAGGCAATCCATACACGCAAGCATGCATGCACACGGATTAACTACATAGACTTATACATTGTCTACAAGGTACGATTGCTGACACTACACAAAGGGTGCTGGACATTTTTATCAGCAACCCAGTCATGCAAACCTGCCGCCTCTGACTCTGTCGCATGGTCTTAGGACGCTGTCCACGTGTCTAGTTTAACCTTTTGGGACTCGCTTAATGGCGACCTTTAGAAGACTGCGATGGCGTCGACCTTTCGATCTTATTGTACTCCTAGCAGACCCAGAATGAAAGGCAATATGCGTGGCCTGTGTATTCAACCAAGTATAGTAAGTAAAGTAGGTCCGATCTAGTAGTGTGCTGCCGCCAAAAAGGAGAATCGGCAAGTGTTGTGAGGATGTTTTCGGTACCTACTCCTACTGCTGCACCTTTGTTTTACTATGCCAAAGGCAGCACCAACAAGTCCTAGCATCTCAAGCGACGCCCTAAACGCGTACAATGTAAATATTGCAGCAAGGGTTGGGCGGGCAATCAAGGCCATGCAAATCCTCCCCTGCCTGCAGCCTAGACTTGTTGGGCGAGTCGAGAGTAGTTTGGGGGTAGCTAAAGTCCACCAATCAATGACCTTGTACAGTCTGAACAGGCTTACCCGGGTCGTGAATACGAAAAGGCGGAAGCGGTGCGTCTCTACCACCTTGTGTTAGATAGAGTACGAAATACACCATGGCGAGTAAAGTGAAAGAAAGTAAACATGAAGCAAGCGGGAGGCTGATATAGTACATATCCTGATAAATTTTCCCCGATTTGGCGGGCGAGAGCGGTTTCCGAGGCCTGGCCGTTCTTAGGTTTCCCTTATGTTAGTGGTCGAAACAGTGACCAAAATAACAAAGGTAGCAGAGTTAAACCTTACTATTTGGACCACAGCGGGGTTGATTTTGCTGGAGAAGTCGATATATAACCAACCTTCCATCAACATTTCATAACCACCCGATTTCGTTTCACAGAATTGTCCAAATTATGTCAAATTGTGCTCAGACTGCACGGTAAAAACGATGTCTCAGTTTTCGAGGCAAAAGGGAAAACTTTCATAAATTCCTTTGGTTTGAGAAAAACTCCACAGATTTCGAGGAAATCTCTAAACAAACGTGGAATTTTTCCTCATTTTTGAGACGATTCCTCTGAGGCGAGATTAGAGGAGTTTCTCTCAAATATGGAAGTTTCTCAAAGTTTTCCCTTTTTCCTCAAAAAGTGAGACATCGTTTTTAACGTGTGACAGGGGTACAGGTCACCAATTGTATACAACAAGAATTGTGAGACAACCGCATACTTTAAAGTCACCTACACAAAGAGTGTGCGACCTGGTTGTCACGCGCCCTATGGCTGCCTTGCAGAGAAAACGAAAATAATTGTTCCAACGACCACCTTGTTCGTGTAGCCGGGTTGTTGTTCCAAAGACACATTGCCTCTGATAAATGTCATTGGGCCAGGATTTCATGTCGTTAGACGAGCAACCCATGTACCCGAAGCCATTCCAATGACAAAATGTTTTTTGCGCAGTGTCACTTGTCTTTGGAACACTGACACATTTTCTTGAGTGCGTGCAGACTGTTGTACGTGCACGCACTTTTACGTGTTCGAACGCCACACACTAATGTCGATGGACGGGCAGCGTCCACACCAACGCATCTTCACCGAGCGGTGCAAAGCATCCGAAGGGCCATGAATTATGGAGTAGCACGCCAGCCAAGCCACGCTGCTTCGCCCCGTTTAGCCTCAGGAAACCCATCACGTCTGCGTGCACCTGCTGTGCCTAACTCTACCCAGGGCGCGATGGGTCAGGGTGCGACACGGACACAACTAATGACATACGCGGCGGCGAACAATTTGGTTGGTTAAGGTCGGAAACCAATTTGCCACTGGGAGAGAAATATTTTTACATATTCGGTATGGTGTTTTGTAGGACATCGTTTAGTCAGTATAGTTTGGTGGAGACTCAGAAAAACGTGTACTTCAGTTGCATATGCACAACACAAACATTTGCATAAGATCTTTCACTCTCTTTCAGGCGAATGCCCCCCCCCCCCCTTTCTACTCCACCCGGAGGCTACAAAGAAGTGTTGTGATTTCAGAGTTCCTCCGAAATGAGCAAGTATTATTCACTGTGAAAAATTTCCTCGTAAAGTTACGACATTTCTTGTAATTTGGAATTACAAAATATTGTTGTAAACTTACGGCGCACCATTTTTGCTCCTCGATCAATTCCAAGTCGATAGGAGGTAATTGTAATTTTACAATGTCAAGTTGTAATTTTACGAACTCACATCATGGAAAATTTTCCTGTAAACTTGCGACTATTTTTCACAGTGTTGGGAAATCCGGGGAAAACCACAAAATACTTTCAACAGTAGTGTTGTACCAAGTGATTTTTAAAGTGGCACGTTCTCCGTTACGGATGTTTTAACTGAATATTTTTAAGTGGCGAACTTGCTTGTTCGCCATATCTGCATGCAGAACGTTAAGTTTGCCGGCCACTTAAAAACGGCAACATAAAGAGTTTACTATGCACATGCTACCATTTCATAGATTGATTAGAGTAATGAATTATATGGATGTTAAAAACGAGTGATAGGCGCCCCTACAGTCGAACGCCACGATTACGTAAGGATGAGTACTCTGCAACGTTGTCACAAAAAGCAAGCCTGAAGATGCCTGCGTGCGTACAGGACTCCTATCGAGCTGAGCCAGGTGGGAGCTTGGCGTGGCGCAGTGGCGCGCGTTCCAGGCGGGTGCTCTTAGTCCGTCGCATCCTAAAAAGCAAGTGGTGGGTAGGAAAATGGTCGACAAGACAGACGTGGCACTCCTCCGCAGGCTGCTCGTGCACGGCCGGCTCCGCCGTAGCCAGACTTCGCGGTGGCAGTTTTATTCCGGGCATCAATTCCTGTAAAGTACTGGAGCGAGTGGGGTTCGGGCTGTGGCGTACGGCTCGGAGAAAAACGGCCCCGACGACCTATCTGAGGAGTCACCCAGCGAGACAAGAAATCAAGCGGGATTACCTTTAAAATACGTTTTAGATATTGACAGAACGATAGAAGCACATTTTCTCTTAATGGTTTGTGTGGATAGACAACAGAGCACAGAAACGCCTTGCTTGCATTGGACCATAGAAAGGAGTGGATACAAAAAAGAAAAAGGGGGAAGGAGGGGCATTGGGCGCAGTTTATGGAAACCATTATAATTAACCGGCGATTATAATTCTGTGCTTTTTCTCACGAGTTCTGTTTGATCTGGTCACACCCACGTATAATTGGGGGAAGGGGGGGGGGGGCAACAAGAGGTGCCAAGCAGCGGAACTACTCACGCCACGCCACTACTTTCACGAATGCAGACCACCTGACCTGACTCGGCAGTTCCACATATGGCATGGCTTCATGGGTCGGCACTGGCCGGGGCAATAACCGCGATCTCCGAAAACGCCCCCCCCCCTCCCTTATCCAACAGAGCCGAATCCCCTCTACATCTCACCTTTCTTCCTTCCAACAAGCTCGTTTCAGAGCACTGCCCCCCATGAGTCATTCTCGCCGCAGGCTGCCCGACCAGCCACTCACCAAATTAATTAAATCTGGAAGGCTGTGCTTGGGTCAACTTGCTTTGCATCGATGCGAATTTGAACTAGTCTCTGAGTCGGGCGGATTTATCTAGTTTATTCATGTTGGTTGGCTCACAATAATAAACTTCGCTTCGCTATACCCGTAAATAAACGCTTACTGTTTGCATTGAAGGAAAGTGAATATTTTCTGTAACTACTGAAATTAGACAAAATTTAAGCAAAACCGGCAGACCATAGTGCCGCAGTGCTGCTTAAGCACGCAAAAAAAAAAAAAAAAAAAGGATCAGTTGTCACAGCGAATACATTGGTTAATTTTGGGGCAGTCAAGAAATTCGCTGTGGCACCTAAGAATCAGTATGAGAGAAAAGAGTTAGCTCCTACAGCGGACCTGAAAATACGGGTTAGCTCTGGCAACTAAATTTTGTCTCTGACTGCTGATTTTTAGGTGTCAACAGCGAATTTCTTGACTTTCCCAAAAGTAGCCAATGTATTCGCTCTCTGACAACTTTTCCGAGAGCTAGAAGCGACTTTGCTACTTCTGGAGAGAGAGAGAGAGAGAGAGAGAGAGAGAGAGAGAGAGAGAGAGAGAGAGAGAGAAGGGGACGGGGGGACGTACACTCCAAAAATGGATACGTTCACTATATAAATCATCGACCTCGTATTTAATTTAAAGAACAAAAATGCAATTTCTTGTCACTCACCGACCCTACATTTAAAATAAAATGGAGTATATTTGTGTTTACAGCTTTTAACTGTTGTTGAATTTTAGATTATGTTTTTTACAGTGTAGGCTATAGGAATCCCTCCGTAACTATTCAAGGGCGTGGCTCGGGCGCCGACATGCGTTTAATTGTGTTTAGGAGCGTCTGTCGTTGGGAGAGCGCTTTAACTGGCCAGCCTACCTGCTCTGCGCTGACACCCGTCCGCCCTCGCATCAGCTAAAGGCGCGGGCAGCA